GTGTGTGTATCTATAACTGTGCAAGTTTTTCTCGTTGGTCGTTCGTGATTTCGTTAGTTTTAACCTTTCGACGGTGGCTTGGTTCTGACGTTCGTCGCTTACGAGGAAACGCGGCCGTGTGCCACTTTCAGAATGCAATTTGTCAGCAACATTCCTATGACTGTGTCCGAGATTTTTGCCCAAGTATCGCCGAGTTCATTTCCAAGCTAATTCGTAAAACGATTCTATACAAATTCCGGAAGATTTTTCAGTTCATAATCGAGAAACTTCTTTATATTCTTAAGAAATGTTTTCAGCTTTTAGTTAATGATTTCAGTGACCACTGTGTATAATGGTATGTTTAAAATTGACAGAGGATTAATTTCTTTTCCTTAAATTAGAGTATGTGTCGGTTATTACTTGCAGATATTTTAAACAGTTTGCAAGATCTACTAAAAATTAGCATTATAGGTAATCAAATCAGACTTCCATAGGGAAAATAGCGATATATGGGAAGCAGGAATTCTCAAAATCTTATTTTTCACAATATTGATATTAAAAATAATTTAGAAAAAATATTGTAAAATTTAGTATATAAATATATAAGTATATAGTACCTATATAAGTATGCATAACAAAGTAAATATTGTTCCAGATTTTCCCGTGTAAACGTTTACCATATACGCAAGTAATTGAAAACTACAGACATACGTATTTACATATGTATGTATGGGGCCCTTTCTCTACATTATTATTTTTCCTGGGGACGCCTTCGAAAAGAGGCAGAAATCCAGGACATCACCATTTTCTGGAGGAAGTCTAATTTGATCGCGGGTGTACAATACTGCATACAGTAAAATAGTTAAATATAAGTTGTTAGAAAATAGTTATCATAAAAATTTACCATATGTTATAAATAAATTTCTCTACACATAGGTAAATATACCAAAGATTTGAATGCACAAATTAAATGAAAATATATACTGATCGAATTGAGTAACCTCCTCCTTTGCGAAGTTGGTTAAAAAGTAATAATTCTCGAAATCTTAATTTTGAAGATATTAATGATTCTTAATCGTTAAATATTATAAAATTTTATACTAAAAAATATTAAATAAAATTTTCCCGAATATGTGTTTATACGTAAGTAATAGAATCTTCTCTACATCGCCATTTACCCTAAGAAAATCCCCTGTGCATATTAATGTACCTATAGTGGATGACAAATTATTAGAGCCACTCGCATAAATTGACGATTTTACATAAAAACGATTAATTCTTAAATGAAAACCTAGTTAAACAGAGCTTTTGTTATTCTTTTATCATTGATGCTTGTAAAGTTATGTTACACAGTTGACAAAAGTGAAAGTTCTTGATTGGCCTGGAAAGTTTCCTAACTTCAACCCCATCGAAAATTTGTGGGAACATTTATTATTAGTAATAAATGTCAATTGATTGAACGTTTGATAGAAGTATGGGCCTGAAATAAAGTGATCAAAACGAATTGCTTGAAATGCATCAAAAGTATGCCGGAAAGAATTGAGGCAGTAATTGCAGGAAAAGGAGGCATTACAAAATACTAACATATATGTATATATGTAAATATAATCTTTTAAATGTATTTGTTTATTTTTGTAAGTATTTTTTGTTTATTATTAGTGGAGGATTATTAATTAATCCGTGGCTCTAATAATAATTTGATCACCCACTGTAAGTACAAATGTACTATGTATATCTGAAATTGAAGTACAAGAAATTATTTTTTGCATATATTTGAAGAATCCTCTAGATTCTCTAATTCAAAATCACTTGAAACTACTATCTTTTGTATTTTTGAAGAATTTTTCTCGCTGTCATATTATATTAAATAATTATTTATAATAATTTCCAATGATTGTACGGTTTCTATTATTTTCGAAGTTTCTTTTGCGGACAATCTCTGGTCTTCATTACCATCTGTTACGTAGCGAACGATAGATTTTTCGAGGAGTTCCATTGACGTCAAAGACAGAGTGATAAATGGAGATCGAAAGAGGCAAAAGCAGACGTAAGAAACAGATTGACTGAGCCTCGTAAAAACTTAGATAATCATAGGGAAGCTGTTCTTAGACTTCTTACATCCAAGGGAGACGATAGAAATCTCGTTTACTTGGCCGTTTGACATTCTTTGGAAACGGATAATGCTTCAATGATGTGAAGTTTCTTTCGTCGTTACAGCTGATCGAAAGTTGATGTTCAATGTGAAGGACCAATTAGGGTCAGTAATACAGTAGAATCCGCTTATTATTATATTGTACTAGCGATTACCCGCGACTTCGTTCGCATTGCATACGTATAAATAAACATAAGTTTGTTTAATTTTGTGATTGACCGCCTCTCTCTTCGATTTTCACAATTAAAATCAGTATAATACAAATACATATATGTGTAAATGCGTAAACTGCATAAGCGGACTATAAAAAAGTTGCCTCATTAGAGCCTGATTTTTACAATTTTTCTAAATTTACGCGAAAACTCTGTATGTTTCCAGAATAAAAAGAAGTCTAAATTATTACTCTATAAATCCTGAATCTGCCAATAAAAATCTCGTCAAAATCGGTTTAGTCGTTTCGGAGATTAGCCTGTTTAAATAGACAAATAGACAGACAGACAAAAATATTGCAAAAGCGTGCCTGGGTTTATTACCAAATTATTATGGCTTATTATCATAACAATTATGACAGACATAGTTCCTATTCACTGCAACAATATATTTAAAAAAAATTAAGATCACGCTTCAAGGAAAGATTTATTTACATAATTTTTAAGAATTCATGCACTCATGTAAAAGATCAAAAGTAAGTTTCGAAGAAATCGTCCATTTAGTACTAATTTACTAAGAATTCTTATCTTTTGTCCTCCATGTGTAATCAGTACAATTGATAACATCAGCTAAAGTGCGGTTGTAACAGGCGGATTAGTTTTAACTAATTTTGTATAGAATGTTTGGGGATTGACTGATGATAATAACATCAGCCGATTAGTAATGTTATTCGTGATTACAGTAACTGAATCCCATTGTATTGAAAATTGAGACTTCAAAACATTCAAATGATTATGTTACATTGCTAATTGTCTGAACTTGTTCACAATAATTGGGATTTGACAATGTAAATAATGGTTTAAAATTATTAGTTTGGTGGAAAATACATAAATAGTCTTTTAACCTTCAGAAGGCGGACCATGAAAACATTCCAAATTTTAATTTTAGTTTATATTTTATATTATTTTCATTTTCTAAATTTTATAAATTTTACTAATTTAATATCTTTTGTAAGTTTCAGTTTCGATTAGTCCAGATTTCACTGTCCAAATGTCAAAGCTATTTAGTTTTATCATGCTACTATTTAACGAGGGGAAGCAGATTAATGAGCGGCACTAATTTCGTTTTGAGGAATTGAAAACCACAGTGTAAAGTAGTAAAAACAAGTATTTCGTGTAGTACTCTGGCAAGCCAGGCCAGTTGTTGAAATTTACCGATGGTTGTGTTTTGCAGATGAATACACAAAACCCAGAATATTAGACACCTGTTCTTTTTTTTAAATGCGCATATTTACTTTTAGAGTTGGTAATCACATCCCCTAATTCACTATACTAGGTGAAATATACATTTTTACTTGAATGTGTAGATATTTTAACAAAATTTGCTTTTATAATAAACATTAGTACTGATAAAATATATCATAAAACTTTTACAGAAAAGTTTCTAATATTGATTGGAAGATAAACACTGTCACTTTTTTGAATGTTTTGAAACCTGAATTTTAGGTTACTAATTGCGTTTTAATACAAAGTTTGTTTTAATAACTTAATTTTATACCTTTTCTTTAAAATGAACTGGTGTAAATTCGGATCGAGTCTTTTTCTACGTTGCAAGCGATAAATGGAAATTAGGAGTATTAGTTCTATTTTCAAATTGATTGCAAGAAACTGTAGAAGAATGATTTACATATTATTTTTTAAATTATAATTAAATTTTTTGATGTACTCGCACATTATCAAGAGCATATATAAAGGAATTAATTGTTATTAGATAGTTGTTAATTGTTATAGATAGTCGATAGTTAGCTAGCATTAACACTGTTAGCTTAGTTAGCTAGGAACCAACGAAAACTAGTTAATTACACCGATCAATTAGAATCAATATTCAAGTTAGTAAATGTTAGGCTTCAATTTTAAGTGTAGGAGAATTTGAATTTCGAGCAGTTTGTTATTTACTTTGATAAATTCAATAGAATCTATTACTTCTGATAAAGTTGGTACATTACACAGATCGGTTTTGTAATTTTATAACTTTTGTGAGTAATTCAACAAAAAAATTGAATTATGTGTAAAACATGGTTTGTTATATTATATTTATAATGCGCATTATTTAATGGTGAAATTGTTATTTTTGTTTCAGGTAAGTGATCTTAGATCATAGGCGCATAATTGTAAAACTTACGTCGACTTGGTAAGTCAAATCATTACTACCTTCTCTACTATTTACAATTAGTCTCACTTTATATACATTTTATTTCCTTTTAATACCTAATATTATTTTGTAAAACAGTATGTAAGAAAGAAATAATCTCAAAACCAGTATTTATAATATTTATTGAAATAATTTTATCTAAATATGATAATTATTTGAAGTATTTATTTGAAGCATATCAATTGGAAATATTAATTAAAGTAATATTGTATGTTTTTGAATTTGCATTAAATTCAACTATTCTTTTTTATATTTATTATTTGAGAAGGAAAATTTAAGTACGTACTGAAAAATTCTTATTACATATTTGTAAGATCAAATAAATACCTTAATCAGTATGTCAATTAACATAAAATTATAACATTAATGCTAATTAACCAACCTAACATAATAAATGATATATTTTTTAAAAGTATTTGTAGGTTCTATTAGAACTTTTCATAACGTTTCAATTTTTCCTTTTTTCCATGTGTCTTATGATTTTGTCCCATTGTGTGCGGATAGCTGAATGAATAGACGTAAAAAAAGAAAATTTGCCGGGAACATCATCGAATCCCTGAGGGAAATTTAATTTCCCTGTCAGCTGTCTAAAACATCCTCCACACTCCGCACAAATCACTATGACAGAATGTTTTCATATAATATGAAAAGCTCGGGCCAGACGTGGCCCTTGCGGACTACTCAATCATCTCTCTTAATCCAGGACTAAGGTCTACAGGACTAAAGGTAATCAAGATAAACTGCTGTCCCAGGGGAGTTTGAACTTCCAGTTGCTTGAGGAGACATCGAAGTAATTAATTCGTATCTTTTCTCTAGTGTCGCGTAAACGGCTGGCCGAATAAAATATCCGAAGGAAGTTATCTTTCCTCGAGGAGACGAAGCTTATGAAATACACGGTTTCAATTAGCGTTCGTTCTTCTATTCAAATGGCAAGGGATTAGAATCGGCTCGCAGCCGCGTAAATTATTCCGATGAAATTAAAAGATACTACGTTTCCTTCCTCTTCATTTTCTTCTTCTTCTTCTTCTTCTTCTTCTTCTTCTTTTTCTACATCCTTCTATTAAAATACAATTCCTGCGCGAGGATTTCTCTCAATTATTGGAGTCCACTAATGAATCACGATTTCCTTGTTTTACCTTTCGAGTTTCATCTCTGCTCTGTAACAGTCTGATCTATAGATACTCTTTCTGAAGATTACTTAAGAGTCACCATTATGAAATGGCTTTAGAACGAAATTTCTGTTTACAGTCCCTGGCCATATTAATGTGACCATTTGGAAATTTTACAGGAAAACAAACTTTTTGCTCTTAAATAATAAAACATGACTTCATAAAAATATTAAATTAATATTAAACACAGTATTCAAGAAACAACGTTCTTTTTATTACATGCAAAAAACATTTTAAATCAGTATTTAGTTATTACCCCCTTTGATGTTATGACGTATACTTTGTATGCATTTGAAGCACATACCTTTTAATATTTTCTTTAAAAATTTCTCGGTTCAGAAGAAACATCTAATTACATACGATGACCTTTTTCTCAGTGTTACCAGTGCATAAGAAACCATAGCCTCTATTTTTACTGAATATGTTGCCATAATAATAAAAATACATTTCGGCGTCAAAGAATAACAATTATGCTTCAAAAAGTTGGTGTTAGTTACATTTTATTTAATGTAGACAAGTAATCACATTAATATGGCTGGGGACTGTAATTTCTAAAAAAATTTCATTTCATTATTTGCATAATCCGCATTTAATTATTTGCAAAACATAAAAGTTTTTTCCTGTGCGCAGTAAACAAGAAAGTTTAGCATTTAAGTAATCTCTTTCCGTGATCGTTTCTACTACTTGGTGAGAGTAGAACCGGTGAAATTATATGCAGGTTCGTCATAAATATTTATACGTAGTTTCTTGGCAATTTATCGCATATTTATTCAAAGTAGAACAGAGTCGAATGAGAAGGTACGTGGAAGTGTCAAAATGGGACAGAGCATAAAGTTAAGCACTCTACGTTCAAGCAAGGCTAATAGGGATTCTCATTTAATAACAGTGACAGTAGAGTCGGTGCGAGCTTACAGGAAACACTTTGCCAATTTGTCGGATATAGAAGTTGCATGTCATATTCTTGCTTCTGTTTTAAGTGGCCGTTGGTACATTCTGCTCATATAACGAGGTAATTAGTAGACAGAAACCAGATCATTTAATTGTATGTAATTTTGATTGGTTGATTGATTGATTGATTTCTTTGTAGATCTATACAGTACTGGACGACTTAATCTTATATCTGTAAAATATAATATATGTAACAGAATCATTTATCTTTAATAACATTGTTGCGGTTTCTTTTTCTTTGGGTCTGCCGTTCCTAGCGAAGACCCCCGCTGAGGCACTGACCGCTACAATAGGGCCACTTTTACGACTTGCCACTCAAACCGAAACGTATCTACTGAAAATCGGGAAATTTGTAAACGTTATATCTTGAAAACTAATTAAAATCGGGTGTATACATTAAAGCTTAATGAATTCGTCTTGAAAAGCACTATCACATGATCTGAAAAAAAATATATAGTTCCATTTAAAAGCGAAACTTGACCATCAAATCTTTTAAACTAATAATGTAAATAAATTTTCGTTCACGCCAAAACATGGGCTCCCTTGTACCGTGCAATTTCCATATAAACAATTTTTCCTATCATCAATAGTTACGAAATAATACGTCTGTCACACTTTAGCGCGGACACACTGTAGTTGTCGCTGAAGTATAGCGTGGTCATGAATCTCATTTATCTGTAAACTATTTTATGTTAAAAAATTTGTATAAGTATACTAGTCGCTGACATTTACTATCGCGCATTCCTGTGACTACTGTGCATTCCGTGGTTTGAAAGAATTAAATTTTGTACATATACGTAAGCTAATACATTCTTGAACACTGAAAGACGGGGGGGAGTATTAAACCTTCGAGCAACCCCGTGGTTGACAGTTCAGAAATTGAAATTTATTCTAAATGAAATTAAATAACACTTAATCGTAAAGGAAAATAATGATCTACAAATAAATAATATTAAAGGATAAACATCGAAAGAATACATATTTTAATAATGTAATGATTTCAGAAGCTTAAAAGAACAGAATTTATTGTTGTAATAGCAATTGGATCAAGAATTTGTAAAATTATAGTGGATTTCCAAGTTTGGAATTTTTGAACATAAAAATGAAAAGCTTAGAATAAAGACTCTTTGAAAAGTTGGGCCCAGGGCTGCGGCTTCCCTTAGAGTCTAAAGTCTAAGGCTTAGACCTCCGTCTTGATCCTGCTAGTACATATTAGCTTGTTCGAGTCTACTTACAAAAGTTATTTCTTTTTTTATAAGTACTTGAACTGTTTTAAACTATACAGCCAGATTCGAACTTGCCATATACTTTAATTCCATCTGTATTTATCCACGAATATTCTTTCAATCAATTTCAATACCAATAGAGTCTACAGACTCTTTATAAAGGGTCTCGACAACAATAGTCTCTGGGTGTCGCGATCAAAGTAGATTTCCATTGATCTCTAGAAGTAGATGAAAGAATCTCGTTCACCAGCAGACATTTGTATGCAATAAAATGGCGCCCTATGGTGTGTTTCGTGTAAGAGTATGAATTAATTCAATATCCGATTTTTCAATATCATCGGTTGTTAACTGAAAACCAAGTAATAAGCTTTTGATTATTATTAATTCGCCTCTAATTTAATTAAAATAATGAAAGTTGAATGTAGATATACTACAGTTAAAAGGAAATGAAAGTAAGAATTATACTTCTTAATCTTTAATTAGCTATTGTTAAATTATAAAATAGTAATAAGCACTTAGCTTTTTTAAGGGCGGTAAGTAATATGCAAAATTTTAATTATTATTTGTAAACTTTATTAAATGCCAAATTAAAGATAAAATATAAATTTTCCATTTATACGTTAAATAAACGCGATAATTTTAAGAAATCGAGAAATGGGTTTGTAACCATAGAACAATTTATTCACGTCACTCTATGACGTTTGGCTGCATGGTCCTCTGACACGGCTGCAAAAAATTCCCGTTTCTTTAAGAAATCCTTGAAAGGATTAAATAGCTAGGGGGAAGAAAAAGAATGAAACCTCTAAATGGTACTCGACGTAGCTAACAGGAATTTCTAGCACCGGCTATCCTATGAGAATATTTATATTCTTAGCACCTAGCTCCCGTAAATCCCTGGCCAGCAATTAAGGTTAGCCGGCCTACGGTCCCGGTCTGCTCCTGTCTTGTCTCTTCTAGCCGCTTCTCGGCATCCAGTTTGCAGTCTTGTAACTCTCTACGGTCGTTAGCAGGGACTATCGTTGCGCAAAGTGCCGCTAACTGGCGACCCGTTCCTCTTTCTCCACCTTAAGCAACCCTTTTCCTTCTCGTTAACCCCTCTCATCGTCGCAGAATGTTACCGCATTATCCTTTCGCGATCCTGCCAATTTTGGGTCTCGAATTGAGTTTGGGTCTTAAAATTACAGATATCTGAATAAATTTATGTGCTGAACAGCCTTTCGAGTTCCCACCCCGCTGGTCCCTATTATTAACTCCCCCCCCCCCCCCCCCCCCAACTCACAATATTGATTATTTAAAATTTTTAACTATTATTTGCAGTATTATTTTTCCGAATTTCTAACATGAATCTGTGGTATACAATTATAGCTACACCGAGTGTACATCTTTTTTGTTATTTTCAGACGAGTTACACGATACCAGCAGGTTTAATATTACGAGTGGTTACTCCAGCAAGCTGGCTTGGTTTTACTCATTAACCTTCCTCGTTTACGTGAAACGGTTGCCGGAGTTGCCCATCCTACGGGACCCATGCATACACTTGCATGGAGTGATATAAGATTTGTCACGTACGCTATGACGACAAGTTTCGTGCAAGTTTTGTTTCGTGGTTTATGCTTTCCTGTAATTTGCCGCGAACCCCGTGTCTTTATGTCGTCGGATGGGTCAACTCTGCTCGCTGGTTAACTTTACCACGTGCTAGTAAAATCTCGTCGAATTACCTTTCTGTGTGATTATGCCGCGACGTCGAAATTCACAGGCTGCTCGGGTGATAAATCATTTCGCGAAAAAGACATTCGTTCGGATAGTCAAATCGTAAATAAACCGTACGAACTATCTGGATTAATTTTACTTCGTTATATCTTATTACCGTCCCTCCGTGTGTCGTTCTGAAACCTTTAAGACTCGTTTTCTCGCGCAATTGCTGAGAGACGTTACTTCTTAAATTAATGTGAGAAAAATTTGGTACATTTGGTGAAACTTTTAAGAGGTTCAAATTTGATTTTTTTGTGATCGATTGAAACAATTAATGATTAAACGTCTTAAGTTTTTACAGTGGCGCAACCATAATTGTCCGATAGGGGGATCGATAAATTTTTATTCGTATAATACCTTATTAGTATTGTGATAAAACTGACCATAAATTTCTTCATTTTTTGCTTATTTCTAACAATATTTTCTGAAATTTTTAAAAATATTTCGATCTATGAGGAATTTGGTAGAAAAGAAGCACATGTCACCGTTTTATTATTTTAGGAAAAAGTAAGTTGAAAGTACACAAAGAAACGATAATTTATACATATGTGGCATGTGACCCTTTTCAGCTAAACCCCTCAAATATTAGATATAAAAAAGATTTTAATTTTTTCGTAGAGGGGCAACTGACTCTTTTGTTTCCCCTTAGTGGCGTTACTAGTATTTTATTAATGTTTGTGAAAAAAATGGTAAAAACTCTTTAGAATTTTGAAATTGTTAATCAAACAGAATTTCAAAAAATTTGGTAAGATATACATACTTTTTGAAGGAACGAGATTTTCAAAATTAGATATTTTTGTTAATATGGTCGATTGGTTCGCACTAAAAATTCTTATCCACTTTCTCTAAATATTGTATTAAAATACCAGAACAGTATTGAAACGATAAAGGAGCAGTACAAAAACGTCAGTCCGATCCAAGAGTATTAATTAACGACTTGATTCATCGTTTTAATCAAGTTCTGTACTTCAAATTCATTGTTTGCAGTATAAATCTTAATACCAAATTTTAATTTATTTCTTTTGAAATTTTATTCTATTAATTTGCTATTTTTCTGTCGAATTTCATTATGCATAATAAAATCAACTATAAATAAAATTATCCATGGGATAAATTATAGTTTACCCACTTATTATTAGTAAAAATAAAAATCTTTAACGAGTTGTATGTACAGTGTTCAGTATTTTGTGAAATCTTATGTTTTTACAATTGTTTTATAACATATAATTACTGGAAAGAAATAAAATAAAAAATACTACACTGATTATAAGAACAGTTCGTTCCAGTATAGGGAACAAAAGTCATCGACGTTTCATTTTATTCACTAAATTCTATGTTTTTAATAAAACAACTTCAGTGCATTATTTAAAAACTAATTTTTAAATAAAATATGATATAACGAATAATAAAATTAAAGTACATGAAACGTACAGATGAGAATCTTTTGGATACCTGTTTGGTTACCTGGAAGGGCATATAAGGATTAAATATTCAAAATCTAATGAAAGTTTATATCATTATTTATAACTTTTAAAATGAATTTCTTGAGTTGAATTATTGACTTATCCAGTATTTTTCATGGTATTAAGAATGTTACAAAAAAAATAATTTTTATCCCTGATGAGGGGCCTCCATTAAGAGCTGAAACCAGTGCCAGATCAAGGGGAGGTTTAAGGGAGACTACAGCTTTAGCCCTACTTTCCAAAGGTTCCCCTTCTAAGCCTTTCATTTACTATGTCAAAAAATATTGAATGAAATATTTTGTTTATTGTTGTCCTTTTTTTTGAATGATCAAGTGTTATTTTCTTTAGAATAAATTTAATTTTTTGAACCAAGTTTATTAACCAAGGGAACCCTCAAAGGTTTAATAGTCCGGGCCCCCAGAAATTTCAATCTAGTCTTGGCTAAAACTTATTGTTACAAACCATAAAAGCTAATACCTTCATTTGTAAGAGTTGGATTAAATAACAGTAGAGAAAACGCCATAATAACTCCTATTTCTTAAATATATCCAATCGAATAAACATTTACGAGTAAATTTCTGAATAAAAGAAAGAAATATTATACATCAACCAGATAAAATTAATTAGTACTTCTGTCTTCAATACACCAACGAATGCTTTTGTTTAATTTTGACAGATAAGCAAATAATTCGTATTTCAGGTATTTACCATTGTAATTTTGTAGGATTGAGCGCAACGGGGGTTGCAATCAAAGCGCGTCGGTTGGTTGTGTCTG